AAGCTAAAAATAAACCTTACATTCAGATGCATAGATAGGTTCTTTTCAGAAGATGCTTGTACCGTCGAATCACGTTCAATCTGGCTCATTACGGGTGCGTAGAATGAAGTTATCCAGCTCGCCCTTCCAACCCCCATTTTTTGCAGTATCCTGAGCCAAGTTCTGCACTATGGATAGAATGGGAGAATCCCACATGATTAAAGCCTACGATGAAAGCCAATAATGTTCTGTTTTGCTGTATTGGCTGAAATGACTTACACAATCTGTCGGCATCCTATTTTGGCCGTTGCTTGGTTTGATGTCAGCACCGCAGCGCATTGCCCCTAGATAAAAGTTCTAAATATATGCCAGACTTTCACTGCTTCTGATGATTCAGGAAATCAAAGGATACGTCAATTGGCACCGTTGTTGTTGAGCTATTGTCGATTGATGTTGAGCGTGCGAAGTCGCCGCAATCCGGCAGATCACCAGATCCGGCAGATCATCGGAAAATCCCTTATTTCAAGCCTAGCATTATCTGGCACCGCCCTGCGCGACATACGAACCTATGTGCACAAGCACTCACTCAGACACACTCGCAACGCAGCGAGACATATACAATCGGATTGCAGCGACAAGGAGGGATCTGCGAGAAGGCCAAAGCAGCATACAAGCACTGGTTGTGTTGCACTGTTACACTGGCACATCAATATCTACAAGCCTCATCAACCTTTCTTTTGCAAGGCTTATTCACCATTCCCTCAGCCGAGGCATATTCGGCCGTATACTCAGCCAAGACTCATTTTGTCTTCCAGTCAACCTAGGCTAATGCAGGCAATTAACCTTCCTGCCTACGCTTTTCACAGCCACAACCCAACAGCTGGGTTATTCATTCACTTCCACTGTTCTTCTAGCTATATAAGATCATTTACACTCCCTCTCTAGATAGAAGAATCAAGAGCTTTATTCCACTCAAGATTAATGATTGCTGCCCATCTCGTACTGCAATAGGTTGATCAGTTGTATAGCGAGGGCTTCTGGTGCCAAATCAAGCTGGACTCCGACAACCGACTCACAGCCATCTTCTTCGCCCATCCGGATTCTGTTGCATATTTGCAATGTAACCCAGACGTCTTGTTATTGGACTGCACCTATAAGACGAACAAGTACGAGATGCCACTCCTTGACATGGTTGGCGTCGACTCCTGCCAGAGGTCCTTTTGCATTGCGTTTGCCTTCTTGTCCGGTGAATCGGCAGAGGACTACTCCTGGGCCCTGCAACATCTCAGAACTCTGTACCAGCGTGATCTGCCATCCGTCATCTTAACTGATCGATGCATAGCGGCGATGAATGCCGCTGCAATCTGGTTCGCTTTTGCCAAAGCGTTACTTTGCCTGTGGCACGTGAACAAGGCTGTTCTTCAACGTTGTCGGCCCTTCTTTACCCCGAAAGGTGATCACGCAACTCCGGATCAGACCAAAAACGACTCTTGGAATGAGTTCTCTGGGTTCTGGCATTCGATCGTGGCGTCACCCGACGAAACTGGCTCGACCCGCACAAGTAGAAGATCGTCAAGGCTGGGTGGATAAACATTTGCATTTCGGGAACGTGGCCACCCCAAGGCAGGTGACTTGCGTTCTGTAGCACGTAACAGAAACTAATGTGTAAGATCCAGGGCTGAAGGCATTCATTCGCTGATGAAATCGCACATCAAAACGTCCACGTTTGACCTCTTTGACGTTTGGCAGGCAATGAAGCACGCTATCACGAACCAGCTGAAGGAGCTTAAGCACGTGCGAGTCTCCCAACAAATAAGGCTTCCGCTGGATGTTTCTGGAGTTTTGTTCGAGGCAGTACGAGGTTGGGTCTCGCATCATGCATTGCGCAAGGTACAAGAGCAACGGCAATTATACCCAGAAGCCAAACAGGAGCTCTGCAGTCAGACTTTCACATCATCGCATGGACTTCCATGCTCTCAGACTCTGAAGAAACTAGAAGACGAAAAGCGAGCTCTTTCGCTGGAGCATTTCCATCCGCACTGGCATTTGAAGCGAGATGAGGTTCAGCCGCTCCCTATTTTGGAACCTCAACGAGCTATTGATCGACTTAGTCTGCGTCGTATTCAGCCAGCGACAAGCACGAGGCGCGAGCCATCTGGGTTTGAGCTGGTTGAAGGTAGCAAGAGAGCCCCCAGAAAGTGCAGCAGATGTCACGCACCAGGTCATATCAAGACGTCAAAGCACTGTCCGTTGAGGGGCAAGGAATCGCCGACACAGGCAGTGCAGGTCCCAGGCCCATTTGAACAGTCAAGTACGACCACAAGGCCAGCACTAGAACCTGTTTCCACCAGCACGACGGAAGCAGCTTCAATGGCGTCAGAGGATCCTTTATGCGAGACTCTGATGAACGTCACTGCGCCTACACCATATGACCGCTGCATTCCACCTATACCGCAAGCATCCGATAGTGCTTACTCTGCCTCAACACCCGACCACTCAGCCGGTGCCATGCGAGAGTCCGCCTCCGAAGAGCGTATAAGTGAAGAGGTGTCTTGCTCGCGCGAAACCTTGCGGACGTCGCCGCGGTACGACTCACCAGAGACGATATATCGACGATACGTGGCCGCAAGAGGCGCATGGTACGCGGCACAGCCCGCCGGGAGCGTCAAGGCGAACCAACAATACCGTAGCGCAATGGGGCTTCCACAAGGATATGACAAGCAGAACTATAAGTGGTGTTTGGACTACAAACAGATGTCCAAACGTTGTATCACTTCGACGGGGTCAAGAAATTGGACGAAAGAAGAGATGATGGCGTATCTGGATTGGAGCAAAGCAGAGGACGAGCGCATCGAAGCTCAAGTCGCTGAGGAGATGGGGGGCAACCCCTTGCGAATACGGTAAGAGAAAAGGTTTGAAAGAGATCTGGCAAAGGGTTGAAGAGGACAGCCGCGAACAAGAACTCTTGCATTCAGCAGACGGTAACGCAGACAGATGTATCGTTGTCAAAGTGTAGAATACCATGAACGTTTCGCGGGTGCAATATCGTCTGTAAAAAACTGTCTTGCAGCACTTGTATCGTCTGATCCTTCGGTTGGCGCACACACTAGGATTAAGCGCAAACGCGCTAAAGTTACAGCGCTTTACAGTGGTTGTATAGCGGCTGACGTAATTTGGGCACCCGGGTGCCCATGTAACGTAATCCACACCCTTCCCGGTCAGACCCCCTACTCGGTCAGAAAAACTCCCCACCGCCGCGACCCACACTTATGGCAAGACAAGCCGAGCACGATGACGGCGACGGGAGACCAATCGGTTCCACGCGAAGAACGGGTCCTGCTCGCCGTCAGGGCCTATCAGCAGGGCCAATTCGAAAGTACCCGCAAGGCTGCGGCCGCATACGACGTCCCTTAATCGACAGTATCTAATCGACTGCGCGGTGTCATTCGCCGACGCGACGCTTAGATGAATAACCTAAAGTTGACGGGGACGGAAGAGACTGCCCTGGTATAATGGATCTTGTCGATGGACGAGCGAGGGATGCCGCCGATAGTAGCTTACACTTATCGGATGGCCAACTTATTGCTTTCCGAGCGAGGCAAAGATCCTATCGGGGAAAACTAGGTGCGGAAGTTTATTGGCCGCCACGGCGATATTAAGGCAAAAGTCTTTGATCCGAATATACGGCGCCGTATAGTTAGTACGCATCGACTTCTTATTCTCGACGGGCACGGCAGCTACGTTAGGCCGGAATTTGACAAGTACTATACGGCTAATTCTATCGTGGTACTGCAAATGCCTACATATTGTCACGACCCTGCGCGCCAGCGTAGAGACACCAGCGCAGAACCTCACCAGTGTCACGTGCCCAAGCAGCATCACGTGCCCACGTGCGACCTCGTGCTTACCTGAGCGCTGCTGAGGTAACCTCGTGCATATGCACATAAGGGCCAGCTCGGTCGTGTAGTCTAGTCTTTCTTTCTTGCTCCTTAGCTTTGAGTCTTCGTTCATAGTGCCAATACATCTTTATAGCCGTCAAGGCTCGTATGTGCCTGGCCGTAACACATATTCCTCGCATCTCTTATAGCCTCTTAATGTCGGGTGCTTCTCGCCGTTAAAAACAATATACGGCCGGAAGGTTTAAGAGAAAATACTCGCTAGGATCCATTATATCGACAAATAGGACTTCCTTCCTATATACTTAGAGGCTCGCCGATAAGCACTTTCGCCGTCGAATATCTAAAGCGGATTTATAGCAATAGGCCTCTTTCCGTTCGACCTAAACGGGGTATTATCGCGGTTATAAGTTCAGGTTGACAAAGTTAGTAACGATCACGGCGACAAGAATACTCCAAGCCCCAACAAGAGCCTAGAAGCAGCCAAGACTCCGTATAACGTCAACCTCTCGCGAAGAGAGGGTGCAAGTGATGAATAGATTAAGTTCCTTGTCCTTAGATTCTTTCTCCTCTCTAACAAAAAGTGACTTCTTATAGTTCCCGTCACCTGTGGCTGCCTTGTGGTGGCGATGTCGCCACCCAGGCCGCCTAGATGACGTTGTCATCTAGAAGGTTCGATACCACCGCTTACCAACGACATTATTCATCCTTCTCAGTCACCTTTGCTAGAGTCAGCCCGACTAGGTAACCTTCGGACTTAGATCGTTAACCCGTTTTCACGACACAACCAGCTCAGGGTTCTTAATAGTGCAAACCGTTTACACTATTAGTCCGGACTGCTCGTCTTAAGTCTGGTTCGATCGTGTCAAAAGCAAATGATGAGAAATCTTAAAATACGTCGAACAGCTGTTAAGTTGCCAAGGCAATGGGCTTAACGGCTGAATATCCAGCCCGAAGGCTGAACATCGTATACCTGCAATTCGGCTTTCCCAAGGAGGGCCCCTAGAAACCCCCCTTTCGCCTGCAGCGGCCAACCAGCTATTTAAAACGCTTCCTAGCAGGCCCAGTCTAGCTATATACCCTATACCTCACCGCCCCTTTCCTGTAGCTTAGGGAAGACGACGTTTAGTCAAGATAAAGTGGTGGATACGGCGCATCGGTAAGCTGTTGAGCCTGACGGCGTTTTTGGTCAGCGAGGCGCATCTTCATCCCTATCTCATAGTTAGCCGTGAATGCAATACGTAGGAAATGCGCATAACCTTCCGTCGGCGCGTGGTTATAGAGGCTCTGACGATCGAAAGGCGCCTCAAGGAGTAAGCCTTGCAGCGACGTAACCCGTGATACAGCAACATAGCTAATACCGGCCTGGAAGTCGCGTGAAGCGAGGTCAGTAACTATTTGATCCTTCGTTAGGCTCTGGCATTTGTGAACAGTGATAGCAAAAGCCACCGTCAGGGGAAACTGCGTGCGAGCGCAGGTCTCGTTGCCCACTAGGAAATCACGCCTGACTGGGAGGATGGGTGAGATTTTCCTGCCCTCATTAGTTGTTAGATATGACGGTCCGTCGTAGCTGTCAAAGTCCACCATGATAACGGCTGGGGGGTCTTCCAATGGGTCGGCGCCTGCGTTCCAGGCGATATCGTATACAGTACCCTGAGCACCGTTAACTAGGCCAGCTGGCTGCCATAGGTTAGTAGTGAGCATTACCCTGGCGCCCTTGGCAACAGGGAACTTGTTAGATAGATTGCCAGCATTGTCGCTTGGTGCCTGTCCCGCGCCCTTGCCCTGATTCTTTGCCTCCACCTGTATTGCCGGGGCGTTGAGGTGCACCATATGCTCGTGGTTGTATTCGTTGACCCGGGCCTTTGAAATACACCCGCAAAGCGGTACTGAAGCTGTCAACCTCACCCTGCATTAGCCTAGCCTGTACCCGATTACTAAGGAGGTTCCAGGACGTTATAGACAACTTGACTTCACGCAGTTCCTGCAACGCCTGACGGAACTGGGCCTGATCATCGCCAACCTGGCGCTGTACCGTGATCAGGAAGACAGTGCGGTCAAACAACCGGTAGGCTACCTGCCCTTTCCTTTCCAACGAGGACAGGCCGGTTCTCGTCGAATACAGGGGCTTTTGCCGGACTGGTGGCAACTGGAAGAAATCGCCCACAAGCAAGACGCTCACACCACCAAAGAACTCGACTTTGCGCTGTGGAAAGGCCTGTCGCAAACGGGAATCGATCCGCGCGAGCTGCTCAAGCCCTAGCATGCTCTTTTCATCGATAACGAGGTATTTCACGTGCCGTAGGCGGGACTGAAGGGCGGCTGCGTCGGTTGGGGAAGGTCGGTAAAGGACCACCCACAGGAGGCGTAGCAACGAATGAATAGTGCTACCCTGTATCTGGTTACTCGCAACGCCTGTTGGCGCCACGCGGCAAATTGGGCTAGGATTCGGTAGGGCGGCTGCCTGAAGATGGGAGGAAAGCACCTTGATAAGGAATGACTTGCCTGTGCCACCACCACCATCAACGTGAAGAAGGATTTGAGTAGGATTTTGCGCCTGGAAGTGACCTATGAATGTGTCGTACACGAGCCGTTGTTGTGGGTTCAGCTCATCACGCCAGTGAGGGCCAAGGACCTCCACATTGTTGGCTACGGAGTGGCTAGCGATAAGGTCTTTCCAGTAGCCATCTCGAAGCTCCGGATAAGTACCCACATGCCGGGACCAGTCGTAATTGACGTCGATATCGCGGTGGCCAAGTATGTCAAGGTCTTCCTGGGTAAGGGGTGGTCAGGTAAAGGGCAGCCAGGCGAATCCAGTCTTCGTCATCAAATTCTTCCTCCACAGGCAGAGCCTCGTATTGATCCTCTTGAGGCTGTAATCGAGCCTCACTTGGCTGGCCGTAATGGTCATCATCGTGACTGTGATGCTGCCAACAATAGGAGAAGGCCTGAACGTGGGAACTAAAAAGCTGGCCGTCGAAAGTGAGGAGCTCATCGAGCCGGCGATGTGGGTGATTTAAAGTCAGCTTTACACGGCAGTAGTCTGGCCACTGCTGGCCTTCTGGATCAGCCTGATAGCGAGGAAAGTAAACCAACACACGGGGCCTGCCGTGGACGTTGCCTGGCTGCCATTGCTTCCACTTGGAAGGGTCTCTAGAGCGGAAATTCCAGAATTTGAGGAAGGAGACGTAAGTGAGGTCCGTTAGAGCTTCTGGGCGTTGACTGTACTTCTCGTAGACGTTGGGTGCCTCATCAACCTCATCGCCGTCAATGCGGAGGTAGCGGAATGCCTATCAGAATTACGGCAGTCAACGTATAGGCAGGTACCAGGAACCTCCTGTAACGGCAGGCCGAGGAGCAAGTGGCAAACCTCCTGCTTCGAGTAATCCCGCTCAGAAACTAGCTGATTTAGTAGCTTTGACGTAAAGGAAATCAGGGGGTTGTGGTCCTTAACCCGGGGCATCAGGGCCTTCCCAATCTGGGCAAAAGAATCGCTCTTCTTTTCTGACTTGGAGCAGTATTTTGCTGCGTAGTCGATCACCTGCTGTAGACTCGTGCAGGGCGAGACATCTGTATTGGCTAGCCACGCAACGGTAAGCAAGCGGTTATAGTGGTTAATCTGGCCATCGTTCCGCGCGCCCTAAAGCTCCAGTGCTTAGAGTGAGGAGCCTTGTCAAGGAGGCTAGTAGGCGCTGGCCGTGAGGAAATCCGAAGCGGCACTCCATCTGCTTGGTATGCTTGCTGAGGTGCATACAGTAGTTGTTACAGTGGTGGCGTTGCACGCGGTTGACTATCATCGATAGGAATTGAACGGTAAGGGGGTGTTGCAACAGATTAATGATCAGAGGTTTCCTTCTCCGGGTGCCTGTATGCGCCGAGGCTCCGGGTTGATAGCAGATATGTAATATCCCCAGATACGGGCGAATCGCTCGGGACCGATCATTGTCAGGATCCAAGTCTGGGTGGCCACTTAGCCAATATAGGCCATGGTGGTGACTGGAACCCCTGCCCTGCCACTCGTACCGACCCCAAAAGTCCGTTAGGTTGAACTTCCGCTTCAGGACAATAGCCCTAAGCAATGTATAGCGCTTATGGAAGTGGTAAGCGGCGATGTGGGCGTTGTCTCGCAGCAGTTGCCGGGACAGAGCAATCCGCGCCGCCTCGGGAGCTGCTTGCCACTCGTCGAATCGAGGCATATGACGGTATAGGGATTCCCAGTGGTAATCAGCTGCACTTACAGTAGCGAAGAGGCCGGGCCTGCCTAGATTATAGGCATATGCTTCCAACTCCTTCCTTTGCTTATACCAATACGGTCGGGTTCCCCTGATTACCGCTGCTTGGCGCGTGATCGACTGGATCAGGGCCTGAGCCTCCGGCTCGTCAGGCTCAGCCATCGCCTCCTCTAGGTCAGCGCGTGTAAGGGGTTGGCGGCGGCTGTCGCGTTGCCTGACAAAGTAGTCACTTCGCTTTCGGACCTGCGCGCGTAACAGCGTGTTGAGGGCGACGAAAGGCCACGTCTTATGGCGGGCAAAACGTCCATCACGCCATCTCATCGCATGGCCAAGGTAGTCCTGGTACGTGATGCTCCGTAGGCGAGGCTCCACGAAGTCGGCCTTGCCGTCAGGGTAGAGGGTGGGGAACGCGAGCGTTAACAGCGGCTGGGAACGGTTGAACTCGTTGATGGGGGTCCTGCGAATGGAAGGCAATGGCATCTGGTGGTGAGCCTGCGCGCTACGCGGCATGTACTCCAGATCAGCCATACGCTCAGGGTCAGGGGTACCGTTGAGAAATCTAGACTGCAAGGCGTTCAATTCGGTATCGGTAACCTGCAAATTCGGGATCGCTGATGCGTCGGCATCGCTAGGATCCTCATCCATAGCCTCCTCAACGGGGCCTTGGGGGACCTCGCCGTCAGGTATGTCAGCCACTTGGCTTGCAATGGAACCCACTATACTTCCATCAAGAGGAAGCCGGTGCAGGCGATCCTGGCTCACGACAATATCGCGATAGCCCGGTGGTGGCACTGCAGGTAATGCAGCCAGGTCAATAGGCATGAACGGCGTACCCGGAAATCGCGAGCAAACTGTTGCTGGAAGTGAGGGTCGCCTTCCATATTAGGAGGCCGTAGGAGCACGATATCTAGCTCCTGCGGTAGCACTGGGAGCTCTTCAAATAGCCTACCAACGTTGCGAAGAAAGTGGACAACGTGGCCTCGATATTTGTATTGAGCGCCGCGCACTTGTAGGACCTTGACGTGTACGTGAACCCTAGCAATGAGCATCTCCTCGACCATCGTTAGATCAGGTAGATTGCCGGGACTTCCCGAAGTCAAGGTTATTCGCGGCGCTAAAGAAGTAGGGCTCGTTAGGGGCTTTCTTCCTGTCTCGACCGATGCAGCGGCTGCATATTTTTAAGCGGTTTGGCTTCATATCAAACCAACGCTCCTGGCAGCGAGTGCAACTGTGCATCTTGTCGTCATTCAGGGCGGTATAGAACTCCCGCACAAGGGCCTGATCTTCCTCATTGAGGGCAGGCAAGTTAAGGTCACCTGTAAAAGGCGGATCAATACTCTGATCAAACAGTCGCACTTGAGGCTGTGTGCCTTGACGAGTATACCGGCCGCGGTGATGACCCTGTGGCAATAATGAAGGAGTGGTAGGAAGCGATTCCTGTGGTATAGGAGTGCCTTGCACAACAGGAGCTGTAGAAGCACTGTCTTGAATCGGCGTGCCCAGAACTACTGTTGGCAGGCCAGGGGTAGGGGGGATAGGGGAAAGTCCCTCGACAATGCTTGGGGTAGAAGGCCTCAGCGGAGGTCTAAGCATTCTCGAGGGCGCGGGCACCAGGCAACGGAGTAAATCAGGCGTCGTAGGCCGTAAGCCGTTCGCAGACGCAGGTATTGGTGCAGTCCGCCTTGGAGGCGTCAGGTTAGCTACTGCGTCGGTCCTCTTCGTGGCTCTGCGTGGCGATGGCCTCGAGGCGATATTCCGCATGGCGGCAAGGACGGCTCGGGATTCGGTTAACCGCTCCTTCGGCGTGCCCTACAGTTGGCACACTCTCTTGTAAACTTTGTAGGGTCCTTGACGCTTCGAAACTCGACTTCGGGCAGGTCTTGCTTGCAAGTACGACAGTTGCGGACTGCCGGGGGTGTATCGTTCTCCATCTGACCGTATATATATCCACCTCTTATCCACTTTGACTGCTAGATATCGCTCGGGCAGGAGGCTTTGCGAGGGCTTGGTGATGCTAGCAGAGCTGTCTGACGGTTGAGAGGTCCGAGACCGTGGTGGAGCTCGATAGGGAGTGTCTTTGAGGTAGTCGGCTCAGATCTGAATGATCTGGGAGGAAACTGCACTACCTGCCCGGGTAGGCCGGCTGCGGATGTGATTTGCGAACCTAGACACCGTTAGCAACTCGATGGGTTCGACAGATTCGACGGGAAAGGGAAGTAGAAGCGTGCGTATAAACCAACAAATTGATTGCGTTGAAGAAAAGAACAACTGAAAGCTGTCGGCGAGCTCTCGAGAGCTCGCTAGTTACCTAGTCAACGCTCAGGGGTTTGTGGTGGGCCTTCATTTGGTGGCGTTATCAGCCGACCAATTCGTTCACGAGTTGAGGACAGGGGAGGCCAAGTAGCCAATCAGAACAGGGTTTATGCTCTTCTTTTTGACTGAATAAACGCCCTTCGGGCTGAATTAGTAGGACGCAATACGGGTGGAAGGCTCGCCAGCCGCGGCTCGCGCAAAGACGCCTTTCGGAACGAAATTGGCGACAGGAGAAAGTTGGCGACAGGAGAGAGTTGGCGATAGGAGATAGGAGACAGGAGAAGTGAAAGGGAGACAGGAGAAGTGAAAGGGAGACAGGAGAAGTGAAAGGAAGACAGGAAGACGAGTGAGGTCGAGAAACGAGATAGGGTGAGAGACGTAGAGCATTATCGTGAGTGAAACCGAGACAGAGCGGAGGGGAGGCAGGCTAGGCCGCTGGAGGGAGATTTTTCTTTGCAAAGGTGCAAAGGGCGTAGAGAGACGGCAGGGTTGAAGAGATATGTGGGTGGGTAATGCATGTCTGGGCGAGTGGAAGGCTCAGAGGATTTACAGGTGCTATAAGTCGTAGATATAATCAAAATAAGGAGTATATTGGGGAAGTTTTGACTCGATTGTCTTTGTGAAAAGGAGAACAAGAGAAGAGACTGTGTTATTCGAGCCTTTGGCACTTGAGTTTGAGGATAATGAAACATGTTGTCATGTTGTATTGTTTCGTTTGTTGCTTTATAGAAAATTCTTGGGCGGACGTCGGGCGCGGAGCGGTCGGGAAGAGATGGACGCGGGAGGTCTGATAGAGCCAGAGGCGGATGTGCCTGGGTGATTGAATGGTTCGGTGTCCGTCTCTGACTCTGCGGGGTCTTCCGGGGACAGAAAGGAGGAAGTGTCGGATTTGGCGGAGTCTTGACCATCACAGGCGGTGATTATGGTGGAAGTTTCGGGAGAAAGTCGCGGTCTCTTGGTTGGGGTTTGGTAGGGATCGGGCAATGACCGACTTGATGTCAGTATAAGGGGATTGACTGGGCTAGATGCAGGCGGCGTGGGGGAGGCGGGGGTTTGGGCGGCCTTGCGCTTTTTGGTAGATGTAAACCTTGCCAACGCATCGCTATAGTCCGAGGGATTGCCGACCCTGCCCTTGGGTGTCGTCGGTAGTAGTTGTGTCGCAGAAGCCTGGTTGGACATGGCCCTGTCGAGGAAAGTCCACGTATCGGGGACGACGATGAAGATATAGTCTTGGTCGAAAGCCGGGGCATGTTTCATGATCTGGTGATCCAGTAAGCCGGTGATTTTGCCCGTACAAGTGAAGAGAGCGTTCGGCTGGAATTGGCTGTCGTGCCTCTCGGTCATCTTCTTGCATAGAGAGGTCCAAGGATTGGCGTGAACGGGGAAGATGACGAAAACTTGGAAGGGGTGAAAGCCCTTGAAGGGTGTTTTGCCGGGAATCCCAGGACAAATATAGGTGGAGAGTTGGACAAAGCCGCAGCACCTCAGCTGGCTGTCGTCAAGGGCCGCAGCCGAGTTTCCATGCAGGAGGTCGCGGCCGGAGCCGATGACAGGTCCCGTGAAGGAGACAATCGGTTGTATCGTTGGGAAAGCACCCACCGAGTTGAGGGTGCGAGTGACGACTCTGCGGATATCGTCAGGGAGGGTAGTGGCGACAGAGAGGTTTGGAGAATAGACTTACGGTTGGTAGCTGTGATCGCGGACTATAAGCGCGGGGACGGTGTATTCTGTGATGTTATCATCGTCCGACTCCAAGCCATCACGTCGCTCGATTTCCCACGTCAGGGCAAAGGGATGAACACGGCCGACCATAAAGAACCATTGCTCAGTCCATTCGGAGGGGATTATCTGTTGGTTGTATATGGAAATATTAAGGCTGAAGAAGATGCAGGTCGATGGACTGTCAGTATCTGACCGGATTGCTGCGTACTCTGGAGTCGACAGCCATAAGGGCGTCGGAAGGAAGACTCTCGCTAGGGTTTCTGCGTTGAGCCCTTTGATACGATGCTCATTCTGGTAGGCGAACCTAGACGGACAGCCGGGCTGGACAAAGGCCATCATAGACATGTCGGCGCCAGCATTTTTCTGGCTGTCAAGAGGTTGCCGCGGGGAGGACGAGCTATCGATGTCGAGCTGGGAGGCCGACATCGTGAGAACATGGCAGATGTGGTCACCGTAGAAGTGTAAAGGAGGGGTTACGCAGAGTAGAGGTAGGCATCCTATAAAGCGGGCTTTCTTGCTGGTCGAAAGAGGGTTCGCGGCTAGGGTCGGGGAGACTTAAGAGTCAGTGAATGTTACGCAGGTGATAGGTCAGAGGCGGGGGTTTGCGGGAATGAGCTGGCAAGGTGTCCCGAACAGTCTCGGCCATCCGTTTCTGTGGTCGTGAGTAAAGAAGGCAGCCGGGGGTTGGAAGTTGAGTAGGGGTGACGGTTATGTTGGGAGAAATCGGCGGTCGGCGAACGGTAAGGTTAGGGTGGGCAGTCTGCGGAAAAAGAAAGTCCAGTAGTACCCTTGGGTGTCATCGTTTCCATGGAGTAGATAGCAAAGGCGGGCAATAACGAATGAGAGCGAAAGAAAGAAAGAGGTTATGGTAGTATTGCAGGGTTCCCTTTTTTGGCGGTCGTCGGTAGTTGGATGGGCATTGCGTGCGGCTGAGCGAGGCGGGTGTGTGTATGTATGTGTATTTCACCCGGAGGATTTCTCCTATAGGGCCTAGACGTAAAAGCTACTGACATTTCAATACATTAATGCGTAACACCTTAAGCCCCACGGGTCAGCATACGCTACACCAACCTCGCCGCTACTCTCTCCGTGACAGGCCTGCTTGAAGGCCAATTTCTCCAAGTGTTCAGCGTCCTACCTTCAGCAGCTGAAGCGCGGTCTGTCGAAATCCGAAGTCGAATACCTGTGTGTTAGTATTGTTGAAGGTTAGTGCCATAATCGATCCTAAGTGGATTCTCACTTCCGCTGCTTAGTCCGAAGGGCCAGACGCTGCCTGCGTCTCATCCCCAGGGTTCCGCGCCCGACAGTTCCGGCTGTACGATTCGTGTGGTCCACCGCAGGGCACGCACTTTGGCACTGTCTCCTTGCATTCTCTGTGGTGATGTTCTGCTTTCGCGCATCTGCCACATCTTTGCGGCTTCTTGCATGAAAACGCCTTGTGTCCCATCTCTTGACAGTTGAAGCACTGAATCGGTCCTACGCGGCGTAGCGAGGCGGGTGCCGACCGTGTCGAGTCTACTATTGAGACACGGTGAAGGGGGGGATATGTGGGGTCGATCTGAGGAGGATGCGAGTTGGTCACGAGAAGTCTCCAAGAGTTTTTGCAAGTCGAGACTCCGGTGCCCAGCGACTACAAGAGGAGACGCAGGGAGATTCTGGTTTATCGTTTTAGCATTAAGGCCGTTGATGCGACATTGGTGCTGGCGAGGGAGCAAACCTAGACGGGAAATCCGGCTGCACGAGGGACATCATGGACACGTTATCGCCGGCAGCCTTTTGGCTGTTGCTCGACGAGGCGGATTGGCAGATACCGATGGAGAAACTGATGCGCAAGGTGGGTAGGATGGTGTTGGAAGGGCTGGGGAGTATTGTTTGAATTGTGCGGCAGGCGGTTGGCGCGGCCACCCCCATGCGCCGGAGGTTGGCAGTAGCCAGGGATTCGCTGGAGTGCGCAAAAGAGAGCACGGCGAGGGAGGGGCCGCTTTTGACAAAGTTGGGGTAGCAGGTCGCATGTGGAGACGAGCCGAGGGTCGGGACGGTGGACGCACATAGGGAGGGTAATGGGGGGATTATAAAGGGGTAGTATTGCATCGCCTCGGTACCATAGGAAGCATTATAAGGGAAGAAACGCCACGGCCATGAGAGAGTAGTGATCGTTAGGAAGCTTCCCATTCGGAAGAAGTAGTGTCGTCAACAAGCGAGATTATCCAAGTGGAAGTGCTCCGGAGCCAAAGCTTCATGGCCTGTTGCCAATCTACGCTAGTCGACGTCGAGGAGGCAGCAGCATGGCGGACAGTCCTGCAGGGAAGCTAAGCGAGGCCGTTACTCACCCTGGAGCCTGTTCGTTGTCGGTCGAGGATGGAGAAGAGGGTGGGAAAGTGAGCCGGTCGGGTTCGGGGCTCGGAGATGGTGCGACAGGGGCCGGCGTGGATGCGGTGGCAGCTTCTGAAAGGGGGCACAGAGCACGGAGGGAGAGACTGGGACGGTTGCCAAGATACGAATCACGGTGGAATGCGGCATCAACGTTCCGGCCGATTCAGCCTATGACACCTGCGGTTGACGACACCGCATGGAGACAGTATGCGGAAGCAATTGCGAGGTCGTTGCCGAGAAGACCGCCACGAGGCGGTTTGCGGTCAAACAGAGGACGGAAGTTCCATAATACGGTTAGCAGCGAACGTTCCTCGCAACATCGGCCACTGGGTCCGCTTCCGAGGCTCCTGTTGCCTAGGGAACGTGGAGGTATGGGGGGAGCGGACCCTGATCGTCCGCGCCTTCATCGGCCCTTTTTGCCTCAGAAGGGAGGTCCAGAAGATGAGGAGCAGCGTGTTACGGCGGCGGCTGGCGATGTCTCGAGTGTTCATTCGAAAAAGGTACCGAAGCTTCGATCTATCCAGCCCAAGGAACCGGTATTCGACAGCTTAAGAGAAAACGAGCAATTAGCAGCAGCGATTGCGTCTGGTTTGCCCAAGCGCCGCCGGGGACGGAGTTGGCGGGTAAAAGGAGTACCGAGCCGCAGGGGCGTCTCCAACGCAGCAGGTACGGCGCAACATCCGGGGTCGCCGTCTCCTGTGGGGAATAGTGGTGCAGACGCGGGTGTGGACGATGACGCGGCAGAGCCAGCGGACGCTTCGCCGAGCGGACGGAGGCTGCAACAAAGGGAGGTGGGCGGCTCATCGCGGGCGGAGGTTGCGGAGCCCGTGCTGTTTGACCGGCAGCGTTTGCCCCAGCAGGGTCGAAGAGAGTACCGGAAGGGGCAGAGACTCATTGAATTACGGCTTCGCCACGAGCCGGAGGGCGTGTCGGGGGGGGATGCGCCCGTTGTCGGACAGTCGTCGCCAAAGCTGGCGGATCCGACGGCCTGTGAAGAAGCGAATCAGCCGACCAGAGAGGAAATCACGGATCCGGGGCAACCCCGGAGGCGGCAGAAGAGAGGCCGTCTTCCTAGCAGGGACGGGCGCCCGAGAAAAGAGGTTCGAAGTGGAGTCGGAAGGGGGAGGAGACGGGAGCTGCAGGCGGAAGAGCTGGCGACTGTGCTGCGCGTTTTGGAGGAAGACTTTGCCATGAAGGAGAGCTTGTCCAACAGTCAGATGTGGTGCAAGCCAATACCGCGCGAGAGGGAGGTGTCGACGGTGCGAGATTTTTATCAGGCGTTCCACGATGCGAGCACGCTGCCGATACGGACCTGCATGCTGTGCTACCGCAAGTGTACGAGAAAAGACTTGAGGGAGATTACATGGGGTCAATGGGTGTCAAGCTGCGTCCCAAAGGGCGGTCGCTCCCCATTTTCATGCCGGAGCTGCTTTCGCGAGGGCGAGTCCGTGTCGGCGTGTGCCGAGTGTGGCCGATGCCTGGCGCGCGGGAGCCTGTCGCCGGCGGCCCATCTTCACAGTCGCCTTGGCTGTGAGCACATGTTCCCCGATGAGCTTAAGGGACTCACGCCGGTCGAAGAGAAGCTCATCTCGCTGAACTCGTGTTACGGGGTTGTCACGAGGTATAGCATCCCGGGCGGGCAGAGGCAGGCCGTGAGGTATCCGAGGCATGTCAAGGGCCACATCACGGTGTTTCCGAACAACGTGCAGGAGCTGGCAACTAAAGTGCTCCCGCACCCTCTTCTGCAAGCACTGGACGAGATCCATGTTTCGTGGCAGGGCGCGGAGAAGCCGGCACCGAGCGACCTGTCGAGTCTGTTGTCGGTGAGGCGGCGGGTCGTGGGGAGGGCGCTTGTTTGGCTGAAGAGGAACAACCCCCACTACGCCGAGATCGAGATCGACGCGGCGGAAATGGAGAGCTGGGGTGACCCGATTCACGGGGTGCCGGCGTTGGTGTACGATCGCATGGAGCGGAACGAGCCGTCTGCATGGGAGAAGACGCGAACGGCACACGTTGTGCCGCCCACGGAGCGCGCCATGGACGACGAGGGGTCGGTAGAGATCGACCAACTCTTCGCGCTGCTCAACCAAAGGCAAGAGACAGACGGCGAGGCTGAAGGGCAGGGGCCTAACGAAGAAGGTGCGGATCGCGTTGGAATTGGCGCTGGCCCTGATCAGAACGTTCCAGCGATCAACGAGGTGACGTCCTCTGCCATGTTTGCACTGGACGGACCGCCAGGCGTGGTAGATGTCGAGAAGCTGCGGTTTGCCTGCGACGCCATTGGTGAGGGTGCCGACGAGAGCCGTGCAGGCCCGAGAACGTGGGTCGGATGCTCGGCGGCGGGGGCTCGGGGGCGTGGCAACGATGGCTGTGAGCCATACATCCGAGTCTCGCGGGGGGACGAATTCGCCGATTCCTTCGAGACGTTCTTCTTCGCCCGAACGTTCCCGACCCTGTTCCCATTTGGCGTTGGGGGACCAAGGCTGCTTGAAGAGACCATGGTCGAGGTCGGGAAGGCCACCGCCGACTTGCGAGGTAGGGCTGTCGAGGCAGAGGCGGCTGCGCGAGACTCCGTATCCTCTCGAAGCTTGAACCTTCGGGTGTGGGCCGACATAGTGCTCCGGCGCCATGGTGGCCGATTCGCGTTGCACCACATCTTTGCATTTCTTGTCTTCAACATGGGGGTGCGATCGCGGAACCGCCGCGTTAGCATGCTGAGTGTGACGAGGAGGAACTTCCGCATGGTAGAACGCATTGTTCGCTCGATGACCGCAGAGAGGTTAGCCGCGGCGAGGGTCGAGTTGGAGAGCTCGGGCAAGACGACCGACGATGGCGTGAAGGAGCTTCTCAGGAGCCTGTCGCTGTACGGCCACCGGCAGCCCATGTCCAGGGAGGTCCGGCTCAATATGCGGCGGAAAATCCAGTCGCTCATCGTTGGCTACGGCGTGCCGGCCATCTGGTTCACCATCAACCCGAATGACATTACGAACCCGGTGAAGCTGCGACTGGCGGCATACCGCACTCGCGATCCCGACGCGGCCGAGGAGTTCCTAGAAGGCCTTGGAAGTGCGTACAAGCGGACGCGGCTGGCGATATCGGATCCCATGAGCTCCGCCGTATTCTTCCACCGGGAGATGAAGCTGTTCTTCGATCACTACGTGAAAGTCGGGGCAGAGTCGGTGTTCGGGCGCATCAGCAAGTACTACGGCGCCGTGGAGACCAACGAACGAGGGGCGCTTCATGTCCACGGCTTGCTCTGGTTGCAGGGAAACGCGCATCTCAGCTCGATGCTGGCCGACATCCACGGGGAGGATCAGGCGGCGTATCGCGAGCGAATCATGCGATACGTCGATAGTGTCTTCTCCGAGGTAAGCGTACCTAGGATGTGTCACCGATGGCCTGAATTGCTCGTCCGATGGACAAACGGGGCCAGGCTGACGTGCAACATAGGATCTGGACCAGGAAGGATTCTGCGCCGTGCAAGCGGAGCGATCTGTGACAGCCGATATTTCCTCCCTGCTGAACAACACCGAGCAGTTTTCGGCCGCCTTTGACGAGGAGGCCAACTTCTGTGCCGGCGCGACACAGGTTCACACGCATAGCCCGACCTGTGTCAAGTATTCCTTGGGCAAAGGAGCGCGGAAAGGGAATCTATGCCGGTTCAAGGCTCCATGGAGGTTGATCGACAAGACCGCCATCACGGCAGACGGGGTGCTGCAGATCCGGAGGAGTCACAGCATGGTCAATCGATGGAACAAGGCCGTCGCTGTGGGGCTCCGGCACAACCACGACATTTCCTTCATTGCGACGCAGCGCAAGACCATGGCCCTTATATATTATGTCACGAATTACGCGACCAAGGTGGAAGACCCGGTGTGGAAGCGTGTGGCGGCCGCGGCCGAGCTCCTGGCCGCCTCGACGGATGACGGCGCGGGCAATGGAGGACGGGACGGCGGTGGAGGTGCTGTTGGCGACGACGCCGCCAAGGGGAACAGGACCCGACAGTTCTTGATGAGGGTGGCGAATCGCGTGTTCACGGACCGTCCGCTTTCGCAGGTCGAGGTCATCGCTCATCTTCTGGGATATCCGGCCGAGTTCACCAACAGCAGCGCCTGGGCGTACCTGAACACATCTCTGCTGTACTGGGAAGTCTTTCGACGGTGGCCGCATCTCCGGCAAGCAAGTGGCGCGGCGGACACAGACGATATTCTGGATGAGTCGGTCGTCGTCGTCGAAGAAGCAGGCCTGAGGATCTCCCACGTCGAGGCGTACCAGCACCGGGGAGAGCTCCTGCGGGGGCTATGCTTATACGACTACATATCGCTCGTGAGACTAAAACGCATCTGCAAGGAGGCGGCGAGCTGTGCGGCCTGGGGGGAGGTGGCCTTCGAGGATGGATGGGCGCCGGGAGGAAAAGGCTGGGTCCAGGTGCTCAGGCGGCCGGGCAAGCATGCTACCGTCTGCCTCGATGGCTACCTAAGCAAGGACTTCGGCGACGACGACGACGACGAGTCGTGCCACCGGAGGTGTGTATAGCAACTGCTCTCCCGGCAGGCATCATTGGAGAGGCTAATCCGCCCCCCCTTTTCAAGGGCAGCCGTGCAGCATCTTGCATTATTCGTGCCGTGGGAGTCCTTCCTGTGCGAAGAAACGGGCGAGATCAATGGCATCTGGGAGCGGGCGCGAGAGGCGCTGGCTCGGAGAATATCATGTCTCGTCGACAACGTGCAGCTGCTTCGACGGTCAGCCGAAGACGCAAAACGCGACGCCAAGCAATGGGCGGCCTCATCCGGCGATGGCGACTCCACGGTCACACACGTCGAGGAGGGCGAGACAGGCGGGGCGGGCGCAGAATCTGCGGCGACGTATCAGCCCAACAACATCGGAGACGCAACCCGGCTGATCGACGTGGTCCGAGGCGCAGTGGGCACGAATCAAGCGACGGCCAAGTCGCCGGAGCTCATGGCGTTGATGCAGCAGCTCTGTCGGTTTCATCAATCGGCGCTGTGCTCAACGGCCGAGCTCGAGGCCACCGTGATTCCCGAGCAAGGGGTGAGGCGCATAAGCATGCCAGGGAGGGTATTTTCGGGGGCCGCACTACCACCGCAGAATCAGGTCAAGGCTATCAAGTCGCAGCAGATAAGTGCGTCGAGGGAGAGGGAGAGAATGATCCAAGGCGTACAAACCACACCCACGGTCCGGGAAAGCGACCGCCGAGTTGCGTTGCGGCGGGTGATGACCGGCTTCGGGGAGGACGACATCGAAGTGACGATGGCCGACTCCGACGAGACGGCTAGCGACGCAGAAGCGGGAATGCGCGTCCAGCTTGGCCCATCAACTTCCTTCCTCGCGGCGGGCAGGAAGCTGGCAACACGGCTGACGCTGAACAAGAGGCAGTCAATCGCGTTCCTACTAATATGCCGCCGGCTCGATTTGATGCGACAAACGGATAGGGGCGATGTCGGCCAGCTGTGCCAGTTCGTCGGCGGCGAGGGGGGTACCGGCAAGTCGCGAATCATTGGGGCACTCGTCGAGTTGTTCAGAAGGAAGAGCATTTCGAATCGTCTGCTGATCACGGCGACGTCAGGGACTGCCGCAGCGCAGATCAACGGAATCACGATCCACTCCGCCTGCGGGTTCACCAAAGACCAAGGGGCGGGCGGCGCGAACAAGGCCAAGGACCTTGACGGGGTGCGGCTGCCGAAACAGGCGGAGCGGTTCATCCACGGCCAGTCTCGAATGGATTGGCAGGAGAAGGAGGTGCTGGTCATCGACGAGGTGAGCATGCTCGGAGCGCGTACGCTGCACGCCGTAAACGAGCAGCTCCGCCGGCTTCGAGGATCGCAGGAAGACTTCGGGGGGATCCCCATCGTCCTCTTCTTCGGAGACTTTCAGCAGTTCCGGCCGGTCCAAGAGAGGTCGATCCTCCTGCCTAGCGCGGCCATCTCGTGGGACGAGGACAACTCGTTCAGGGCCGAGCAGCGTCACCAGCACGACAAAGCGCACGCGCTGTGGAAGAGGTTCACGACGGTCGTCATGCTGGACGAGCAGATGCGCGCCGCCGGCGACCGGGAGCTGCAGAGGCTGCTGAAGCGGATCCGTCTAGGCGTGCAGGACCGCACGGACCTGGACCTCCTCAACTCAAGGTGCTACCGGGAGGGTAGGCGGATCCCTTGGGAAACGGGCATCACCGTGGTGACGCCGCTCAATAGGAACCGGTGGAACCTAAACATGGAGGCGAGCTTGGCGTTCCGGGTCCAGCGGCGGTCAATGATGCGCATCTTCATCTCCGAGCACAGGTGGAAGGAGGAGCTGCCGACGGAGGAAGAAGCGATCATGATGCTCAACCAGGGCGACGATAGCGAGATCCCGGTGCCGGCCGTCTTCATGTTCGCGCCCGGGATGCCGGTCGTCGTGAACCACAACACCCATCAGGGGCTGAAGCTGGTAAACGGCGCCAGCTATTCGGCGGTTGAGGTCATCATCGACAAGGCGTACCCGGGGCATCGGATCTCAGCCGACATGACGATCCACTTCGGGCCGCCGGCAGGGATAATTTTGGAATCGGCGACGACAAGGGACCTCCACTTCGTCGGCATGCCGCCGGGCACGATCTTGTTGACGCCGATGAGCGTCAGGATATATCGCCAGAGAAAGCGGCCGTGGCAGCGGAACGATGTCAGCCGGAAGGGTTTGCCGTGCGCAGCAGCCTTCGCGTGCACAGACTACAAGGTGCAGGGCAGGACGCTGGAGCGCGTGGCCCTTGAGCTGCGAGGGACACGGACGACGAACATCGATGGAATGCGCGTGGCCGCGCAGTGTGACCCGTACAGCTTGTACGTGCAGCTATCGCGCTGCCGAACGCTTGACGGCATCATGCTCGTGTCCAAGGTGCGGGAGAGAGACTTAGTGGGCAACCGGGTTCCCGTGGATATGACTGCCGCACAGGCCAGGCTCGAGGTACTGAGCGAGAGGACTGTTGAGGAGGCGTCACGCTGGTTAGCTGAAGAGTCAAGGCGACGGCGCCGGGCGACGTGATGAGGGACGAGGAAGCGCCGCAGGGGGAAACGGGGGGCCAATGACATGATGACGTGACAACGGAAGTAGCCGGCCATAAGGATCACGGGCAAAAGAGGGGGGGGGAGGGCAGCAGCGACCAACGACGAGGCAGGCAAGGAAGGAAGCGCCGACGACCAATCACAAGGGATCTTTTACCGGGATTACCGGAAGAGGAGAAAATTCGTGAGCCAATCGTTTTGGGGGGAGGACGGAGTTTGGCGTTTTTTCCCCGCGCGCTAATGAAGGCCTTTCGTTCCTCAAAGGCAAGAAGCCTTTCGTTCCTCAAGGCATCAGGAGGCGGGAAAGACGGGGGGAAAAAACTTTGGTGGGGGGGGGGAGGGCTCGCAGGGTAAGAAGAAGCCTTTCGTTCCTCAAGGCACGGTTTGCACTACAGGAGAGGCAACCCAACGGGGGTTGCGCAAAGAGCCTTGAGGAACGAAAGACTACAGGGAAAAAAACTTAAGGAAGAAAAAAAAGGGGCAGACGTGAGGATTGAGGATGGAGTAAGAACAGGGGGGACTTAAGGACGGAGTGAAAAAGAGTGATAGAACCAGGGTAGGGTTAAGGAGTAGGTTAACTTAAAGTATAAGATTTAACTGTCTTACTCGTTTAGGAAGGGGTGGCCAAAGACAAAGAGGCAGCGCGCATGTCCTGAAAGGCCGCGGAAGGGGAGGACGCCTGCTGCCTCTGTGGTGTAGAGAGAAGTGGTGTCATTGGGGTGACGGCGGCGGCGGCCTTGTCGATAAATGTCCAAGAATCCGGGACGACAATAAAGACGTTGTCCCGGTCGGAGCCTGGGGGATAGAGCATAACGTCATGACGGAGCAGGCCGGCGACCTTGGCTGTGCAAGTAAAGGGACGTTGGGTTGGAATTGAGAGTCCGCCTCTCGGCCATCTTCTTACACAAGGTGGCCCAGGGGTTAGCGCGAATAGGAAGATGACGAAGACCTGGAAGGGTGGAAGCCCTGAAGGGGAGTTTATTGGGCATCCCAGGAGCGACGTAGGTAGAAAGGCGGACAAAGCCGCAACAGTTAAGCTGGGCGGCGTCTAGACCCGGCAGGAGGTCCCGCCGGAGCAAGGAGTGGCCGGTGCCGACGATAAGGCCGGTAAAGGAAACAATAGGCGGGACGCAGGGGAAGTCGTCCATAGCCAAGAGCCTGGAAGAACGCTTCAGGCCCACCTTAGCTATGTATCTTTTCGTTGGCACTTGCGAGGGAACAGGGCACGGCTTACGGCTGGTAGCCTTGGTCGCGGACGACAAGGGCGGGCATCGTATAGAGAAGGGTGCCGCCCGTGTCGGACTCCAGGCCGTCGCGCTGCTCAATCTCCACGCAAGGGCGTAGGGTGGACGCGGCCATTCATGAAAACCACTCTTCCGTCCATTTTGAGGCATCAATAGGCTGGCCGTAAATCGAGAGATTGAGACTAAAGAAGACGGATGTCGGGGAATCGTCGGCCTCCGATCGGAGGGCGCATATCCCATCGCGAGCAGCCAGGCGGGCGGAGGCAGCAAGACGCGGGCCATGGCCTCGGCGTTAAGACCCTTGATGCGGTGCTCGTCCTGGTGGGCAAATCTAACGGGGCAATCCGGCTGGACGAAAACACCATGGACATCTCGCCGCCAGCGCCCTCTGGCTATCGAGCGGCTTTCGAAGGTGTGGTGCGGGCACATCGATGGGAGGTAGAGAGGAAGACATGGTGCAGCAACGCAGGTCGATAGGCCAGTCGCGCGCACGAAAATGACCAGTGCTCAGTGTCAAGAAAGAAAGGAGTAGGGAAGAAGTCGAGCGTGAAAGCACTTGGGATAGATCAATGGTGACATAGATTCGCCGGGAAGGGCGAGGAGCCTTGCCGCTGTAAGTAAACGGACGTTGAAGAGATGCGTAGTGGTGTCGTGTAGCTGGGTTCCGATCAGGCACCAAGGGCGGCGCGGACTAAAGTGTCCGGCAGGGCTGGCGGCATAGGAGGCCGAAAGCTAGGGCTGTCGGCAGATAAGCCTGCCGATAGGTCCAGAGGAAGCCCAGCAGGCCTGGGAGAGCAGAGGCCTGATGCAAAAGGAGGACATCAATAAGGAAGGACATAAACAGGGGGCGTTTTAGAAGGCTGAAGATAAGGGGCGGGGATGAAGCAGGCAAGATCAGCACAGGGAACCTTGTCATACCTTTCCACGCCCTGTTGTACACCAATTAGTTTGCCCTCCTCGTGGGGTAGAGACCGACCTAATATATAACACGTACAAAGCGCACGGGGAGGTGTTGCAGGAAGGTCGTGGTTACACTTGATAGGAAGGTCGGGAAAGAGGGGACCGGAAGCAACCGTTATAGGTGAGGGCGAGCTGAAGGGGGCCATTCCTACTTTCGGTGCAGCAGGAATACTAAGAGATACCGAGGAAAAAGAAAGATTAGCACAATGTTCCTTTGGCCGCCTATTTGCAACGGCCAAATAGAAAGATGCGGAGGAGAACCGAGGAGGGAGGAGAAGACCTCGCCAGGCAGATTTTTATGGTGTCAGCTCCTGCGCATGGGCTAGTCGAGGCCGTCCGCCGGGAAAGACGCGTGGCGGCGGAGTTAGGAACCGCGGGGGGGGAGAAGGGGAGGGGGGGTCTGTCCCGGACAAGCACTGCCGCGTTGTCCCCGAGTTATAAAGACTATAAGGTTGCTGGAGACAGACCGCTGGTAGGAAGAATGGCGATACGGCGGAACGCCATCGCCGGGAAGCAAGGCAATCCCAGCGTATATCGCGAGCGAAAGCTTCCCTATCCATCGTACGGTTGCAGAGCCTAGCCGTCAAGAAAGCACCAGCATGGGGGAGAATCCTAGCCGCGAGGCTAGGTTGGTGGCAAGAGGGTGCGAAATAGCGACGGTGGCAGCGGCCGCTGCTGCGACGAGGAGCATTACGGCGGGGAGACTGAGTGCAACGGACGAAGGGCCGAAGCGGGCCTCGGACCATGAAAGCCAAGCTAATACGGTACCTAGGTTCCGGCCTATCGAAGCCAAGCAGGCAACGCTGGCTGAGGAGGCCTCACGAAGAGAACAAGCAGAGGCACTCAAAGAGAGCGTTGCCCAAGGAAGTCGGCGAGGCGGTTGGCCGCGGGAAAAGACGACGCACGTCAATGGCGCCTCCTCGAAGGGAGGGCGGGCGCGACGCTCAGAAGCGATAAACGCGCGTGATAGGTGTCCAAGCATAGAAGCAGACGCTGCCACAATAGGGTCGGTAGTTGCTGAGCCGGCTAGGCGGGGTCTTACGCCGTCCGTTGGCGCTGTGTTGGAGGGAGCGGCCGACAACCTCGTACCGCAGCGGCACACGTTGGCGAAGGAGATGAGGGCTAGGAGTGGCGAGAGAGGCGCACCAGGCATAGTTGCTCTGCAAGCACCACCCGCCCCAGGGGTCTTGGTTGGGCGAAACGAATGCCTAAGCGGCAGGGGATCTTCCGTCGCGGCCGGAGGTGGCCACGAGATCGTTCGGCCTGGGCAACTCATCGGTGGCGTACGGATGACTCTGAAGGGTCTTGTTAGGCGGACAACTGGTGCCGGGGGGGAACAGAGGGGGAGACCGACAAGCAGGATGGGATTTCGGCTGGGAGAGGCGAGCCTGCAGTCGCCCGGGCCATCCAGCCCAAAGGGATCAGGGACGTGGCCGGGCACAATCGTCCTTCTGGCGAGGCCGGGTCGTGCATCGGGGCAGCGGCCGCTGCTACGAGGAGGAATACTGCGAAGGCGAGACCGAGCGCGACGGACGAAGGACCGAAGCGGGCGTTGGGCCGCGAAAGTCAAGCGGGCCCGGCACCTGGGTTGCGGCCTATCGAGGCGAAGCAAGCGCCGATGTCCGGGGAGGTCTCAGGAGGAGAGCAAGCGGAAGCACCCGAAAGAGCGTCGCCTCAGGGAAGTCGGCGAGGCAGTCGGTCGCGAAAAAATACGGCGCGCGTTGATGGTGCCTCTGCAAAGGAGAGGCAGCGCGACGTTTAACAAGATCTCGGCCAGAGGACGTAAGCCAGCGCTTGCCGCAACAACCCATCCAGCCGAAAGGGATCAGGGGCGCGGCCGGACACATACCTCCCTCGGACGAGGGCGGATCGTGCGTCCGGGTCGTGGAGGGCGTCCAGAGGGGCACGACTAGAAAGCGAAGGGGTGGTGCGCAGACGAGGCCCAAGGGCCCCGACGGACACTCAAGCCGCCCAGGAGCACAGGATCGGCCGGCAACCAGTGTCGGGGTTTCGTCTCGAGTTGTCAGGGAGCGCCTCATTAGGCCAATCCAACCTAAAGAAATAAAATACAGAGCGGGAGATTTGCAGTCACCCGGACGCCAGGCGGGACAGGGTCGGCCGGCAATCAGGGTCGGGACCTCGCCCAGAGTAGTCGTCAGGGAGTACGTCGTTCAGCCGATCCAACCGAAAGAGATGGAAGAGGGAGCCGGAGATACACACTCATCCGGACGGTTGCCACCACGGCCATCAGGGAGGCAGCGGCGGAGAACAAGACCGGCCGAGGCGAGACGAGGCTGCGGCAAGATCTTCGCGGCCAGCGGAACAGAGAAAGAGGAACCGGCAACCCGACCGAGACGAGCCACTGACGAAACGTACTCGAGGCGGCCAATCTAGGAGGTGGGGATGGAGCAGGAGATGTGCAGTCATCCGGACGGCTGCCACCACGGCCACCACGCCAGGCAGGACGGAATCGGCCGGCAACCAGGGTCGGGATCTCGTCTCGAGTTGTCGGGGAGTCCTCGTTCGGCCAATCCAACCTAGAGAAATAGAAGATGGGACAGGAGATTTGCAGCGATGCGGACGCCAGGCGGGACCGGGTCGGCCGGCAACCAGTGTCGGGACTTGGCCCGAGTCGTCAGGGCATCCCCTCCAGCCAATCGAAGCTAGAGATGGAGGATGGAGCCGGATATTTGCAGTCATCCGGACAGTTGACACCACGGCCATCACGTCAGGCGGCGGCGGGAGAACAAGATCGGCCGAGGCGAGACGAGGCAGCGGCAATATCTGCGCAGCCCGTGGAACAGAGAAAGAGGAACCGCCTGCCCGACCGAGACCAGCCCCAGGCGAAACGTAGTCGAGGCGGCCATCGGAGGCAGAGGAGCCGTGAGTCACAGGCGGAGGATTTGGCCGGCGTCTTACGTCACCTTGGGAGGAATTCGCCGCGAAGGAGAGGCTGTCCAACGAGCAAACGTGGTGCACACCAGTGCCGCACGAGAGGAAGGTATCAACGGTGCGGAGCTTCTACCGGGCGTTCCACGACGTGGACACGCTGCCGATACGGACGTGCATGCTGTGCTACCGGAAGCGCACGAGAAAAGAGCTGAGGGAGGTGGCATGGGACCAGTGGTTGTCAAGTCCTATCCCTAAGGCTGGGTGGTCGCCATTTGCGTGCCGGAGTTGCTTCCGCGAGGGCGAGCCTGTCCCGGTTTGCGCAGAGTGTTCTCGACGCTTGGCGTGCGGTGTGCTGTCGCCAGCGGCGCAGCTTCATAGACGTCTCGGTTGTGAGCACACGTTCCCGGATGAGCTCAAGGGCCTGACGCCGGTGGAGGAGAAGCTGATCGCGCTGAACTCGTGCTACGGATTCGTAACCAGGTACAACGTCTCAGGCGGCCAGAAGCAGACGCTAAGGTATCCCAAGCACGTCAAGGGCCACATCACGGTGTTCCCAAACAACGTACAAGAGCTGGCGACGGACGTGCTGCCGCACCCTCTCTTCCAGGTAATGGACGAGATCCACGTCTCGTGGCAGGGGGCGCTAAGGCCGACACCGAGCGATCTGTCGAGTCTCCTATCGGTGAGGCGGCGAGTCGTCGAGAGAGCCCTTGTCTGGTTGAAGAGGAACAACCCCCACTACGCCGCGATCGAGATCGACGCGGCAGAGATGGAGAGCTGGGAGACCCGGCCCACGGGTGCCGCCGTTGGTGTACGAGCGCCTGGAGCGGAACGAGCCGTCGGCGTGGGAGAAGACGCGGACGGCGCACGTCGTGCCGCCCACGGAGCGGGCCATGGACGACGAGGGGGCGGTGGAGATCGAAGAAGTCCTCGCCATGCTCAACCAAGGGGAAAGCACGACGAGTCGCGAGGCCGGCGAGCCAGAGGCAAGCGAGGTGGACGAGGTGCGTGGTCAGAGCTGCGGCGAGGCCGATGATAATGCGAAGACGGTCAACGAGGTGACCTCGTCAGGGATGTTTGCGTTGGACGGACCGCCCGACGTGGCCGACGTCGACAAGCTGCGGTTCGCATGCGATTCCGTTCGCCAAGGCGCAGCCGACGACGGTACGGGCCCGAGGACGTGGGTCGAATCCTCGGCAAGGGGGCAGCCGGGGCACGTCGATGGTCCTGAACCATTCATCCATGTCCGCCGCGGGGATGAATTCGCCGACTCGTTCGAAGCTTCTTTCTTCGCAAAGACCTTTCCCACGCTATTACCATTCGGTGTCGGAGGGCCGCGGCCGGTCGAGGAAGCAAGCTCGCAGTTGGGCAGAGGCTCGGTCAACACGCGCGGCGGCGGAGGCGGGGCGCAGGACCTCCTGTCATCCCGGAACATGAGCCTTCGTACGTGGGCCGACACGGTGTTGCGACGCCACGGCGGCCGGTTCGCGACGCACCACATCTTCGCATTCCTCGTCTTCAACATGGGCGTGCGGTCGAGGAACCGCCGCGTCAGCATGCTGAGCGTGACGAGGAAGAACTTCCGCAAGGTGGAGCGCATCGTACGGTCGCTGACCGCAGACGGGTTAGCGGCAGCTAGAGCCGAGCTGGAGAGCACAGGCAAGACGACCGACGACGGCGTGAAAGAGCTTCTCAGGAGCCTCTCGCTCTATGGCTATCGTCAGCCCATGTCGAGAGCTCCGTCTCAGTATGCGGCACAAGATCCTGGCGCTCATCGTCCGCTACGGCGTGCCTGCGATCTGGTTCACGATCAACCCAAACGACATCACGAACCCGGTGAAGCTCCGACTGGCAGCGTACCGCACGCGCGACCCTGAGGCGGCCGAGGAGTTCCTGCGGAGCCTCGATATGTCGTTCAAACGGGTGAGGCTGTCCGTCTCCGACCCGATGAGCTCAGCCATGTTCTTCCACCGGAGATGACGCTGTTCTTCGAGCATTACGTAAATGCAGGGGAGTCGGTGTTCGGGCGCATCGGCCACTACTACGGTGCCGTGGAGACCAACGAACGAGGATCCCTTCACGTCCACGGGCTGCTCTGGTTACACGGAAACGCGCACCTGAGCTCCATGCTTTCCGACGCCCACGGGGAGGAGCAGGCGGCGTACCGTGAGCGAATCATCCGCTATGTCGATAGCGTCTTCTGTGAGGTAGGTAACAGCAAGGGCGTTGCTGTCATGGGCCGAGAAGACGCAGGCTGACGCGGAAGGCAGGACTTGGACCAGGAAGGCTTCTGCGCCGTGCAGGCGGAGCGTTCGGTGACGTCTGACGTCTCATCCCTGCTGGACAGTGCCGAGCAGTTCTCGGCCGGATTCGAAGAGGAAGCCAACTTCTGCGCCGGCGCGACGCAGATCCACACCCACAGCCCGACATGCGTCAAGTACTCCTGGGCAACAAGGGGCGAAGGGCGACCTCTGTCGCTTCAAGGCGCCATGGAAGCTGGTCGAGGAGACGACGCTCTCACAGGACGGCGTGCTGCGGATCCGCAGGACGCATCCCATGGTGAATCGGTGGAACAAGGCCATCGCCGTGGGGCTCCGCCACAACCACGACATCTCCTTCATAGCGACGCAGCGGAAGACCATGGCTCTCGTCTATTACGTGACGAATTACGCGACCAAGGTAGAGGACCCGACGTGGAAGCGCGTCGCCGCGGCCGCGGAACTGCTGCCCGTCGTCGCAGCAGGTGGCCAGCCGGGTGCCAGGAGGATGCCGGAAATGGCGTCGTCGGCGGCGACGACGGAACCAAGAATAATAAGACGCGGCAGTTTCTGATGAGAGTGGCGAACAGGATATTCACGGAGCGCGCCCTGTCGCAAGTCGAGGTCGTCGCCCATCTCCTGGGATACCCGAGCGAGTTCACGAGCAGCAGCGCCTGGGCGTACCTGAACGTGTCGGTGCTCTACTGGCACGTCTCCAGGCGCTGGCGACACCTTCGGCAGGAGAGCGGCACCGCGGTCGCAGACGTGTCCGTGGACGAGTCGGTCGCCGTGGAGGAAGCAGGCGAGAGGATCAGCTTCGCCGAGGCGTACCATCATCGCGGACACGTCCTACGAGGCTTGTGCCTATATGACTATGTTTCGCTCGTCAGGCTCCAACGCGTCGGCAAGGACGGGTGCTCCGGTGCCTGGGGAGGTGCCTTTCGAGAGCGGCTGGGTGGCCGGCAAAGACTGGGTGCAGGTATTGAGGCGGCCAGGAAAGCACGCCGTCGTCTGCCTTGACGGCCACCTTAGCAAGGATTTCGAGCAAGACGACGAGGAACAATGCCACCGCCGGTAAGTAGGTGCGGTGGATGGCCGGTCGAAAAGCGGTCCCAACGCGCGGTGACTAACCGTGCCGCTACAGAGCAGCCGTGCAGCATCTTGCCCTATTCGCGCCGTGGAGACCTTTCTTAGCGAAGAGCGAGGCGACATCAACGAGATATGGAGGCGCGCACGAGAGCGGCTTCCGCCAAGAACCTCGTGCCTCGTCGATAACGTTCAACTACTCCGGCGGTCCGCCGAGGACGCAAAGCGAGACGCCAAGCAATGGGCAGCGTCGTCCGGCGACGGGGATCCGGCCGGCGCACCTGGCGATTGGGGGAGGATGGGGAGGGCCGGGCGAGGCGGACCGCGAGGCGGGATCCGCGTACCAGTCCGACAACGTCGGAAACGCAACGCGACTGATCGATGTCGTTAGAAGCGCGACCGGCGCGAACCAGATCACGGCGGGGTCGCGGGAGCTTTCGGGAATGATGCAGCAGCTCTCCCGCTTCCAGCAATCAGCGCTAGCCTCGACGGCCGAGCTCCGGGCCACCGTCGTGACCGAACGGGGTGGGGGGCACATCAACATGCCCGGGCAGGTGTTCTCCGGGGCTGCAGTGCCGCCGCAGGATCAGGTCAAGGCCATCAAGTCGCAGCAGACATGCGCCTCCAGAGAGGGTGAAGATGATCCAGGGCATACAAAGCATGGCCCCGGCCCACGGTACCGATCGCGGCGCAGCGGGCGGAGCGTGCTCGCCGGCTTCGGGGAGGAAGACGTCCAGGTGACGCGAGTGGAAACCGAGGAGAGGGCAGGTAACGCGGAGGCCGGCATGGAAGTCCGCCTCGGCCCATCCACCTCCTTTCACGAGGCCGGGAAAGACTTGACAAGACGATTGACGCTAAACAAGAAGCAGGCGATTGCCTTCTCCATAATATGCCGCCACCTGGACTCGATGCGGCAAGGAGACGGAGGCGACGTCAGCCAGCTCTGTCAGTTCGTCGGCGGCGAGGGCGGCACCGGCAAGTCGCGCGTCATCGAAGCACTCGTGGGCCTCTTCGCCGCGAAGGACCTCTCGCATCGCCTGCTGATCACGGCGACGTCGGGGACCGCCGCCGCGCGGTCAACGGCATCACCATCCACTCGGCCTGCGGCTTCACCAGGACCAAGGGCCGGGCGCGAACACGGCGAGGACGTCGACGGCGTGCGGTTGCCGAGGCAGGCGGAGCGGTTCGTCAACGGCCAGTCTCGGATGGACTGGCAGGATAAGGACATGCTCGTCATCGACGAGGTGAGCATGCTCGGCGCGCGGACGCTGCACGCCGTCAACGAGCGGATCTGCCAGCTGCGGGGATCGCAGCGGGACTTCGGCGGATCCCCATCGTCCTCTTCTGCGGGGACTTCCACCAGTTCCGCCCGGTCCAGGAGAGGTCGATCCTGCTGCCGAGCGCGGCCGTCTCGTGGGACGAGGACAACTCGTTCAGGGCCGAGCAGCGCCACCAGCACGACAAGGCGCACGCGCTGTGGAGGCGGTTCACGACGGCCGTCATGCTGGACGAGCAGATGCGCGCCGCCGGCGACCCGGAGCTGCAGCGGCTGCTGAAGCGGATCCGCGGGGGCGTGCAGGACCACACGGACCTGGATCTCCTCAACTCGAGGTGCCACCGGGAAGGCAGGCGGATCCCGTGGGAGACGGGCATCACCGTGGTGACGCCGCTCAACAGGAATCGGTGGAACCTCAACATGGAGGCGAGCCTGGCGTTCCAGATCCAGCAGCGGTCGACGGTGCGCATCTTCCTCTCCGAGCACAAGTGGAAGGACGGCCTGCCGACCGAGGAAGAGGCCATCATGATGCTGAACCAGGGCGACGACAGCGCGATCCCGGTGCCGGCCGTCTTCATGTTCGTGCCGGGGATGCCGGTCGTCGTGAACCACAACACCCACCAGGGGCTGAAGCTGGTGAACGGTGCTAGCTACACGGCGGTGGAGGTCATCGTCGACAAGGCGCACCCGGGGCATCGGATCTCGGCCGACATGACGATCCACTTCGGGCCGCCGGCGGCGATAATACTGGGGTCGAAGACGACCAAGGACTTCCACTTCGTCGGGATGCCGCCCGGCACGATCCTGCTGACGCCCATGAGCGTCAGGATCCAGTGTCAACGGAAGCGACCGTGGCAGCAGAACGACGTCAGCCGAAAGGGCCTGCCGTGCGCCGCCGCTTTCGCGTGCACGGATTACAAGGTGCAGGGGGGGACGCTGGAGCGCGTGGCGCTCGAGCTGCGGGGGACGAGGACGACAAACGTCGGCGGACGCGCCGTCCCGTCGCAGTGCGACCCGTACAGCCTATACGTGCAGCTGTCACGGTGCCCGACGCTGGACGGCATCATGCTCGTGTCGAAAGTGCGAGAGAGACCTAGTGGGAAACCGGGTCCCCGGGAGATGACCGCCGCACAAGCGAGGCTGGAGGAACTGAGCGATAGAACTGTTCGGGAAGCGATGTGCAACAGGCTCGGTGAGAGCGCGGGGACAGAGACGGTGAGCAGTAGGTAACTTAACCCAGAGGGCGCGACACCAATAACTTAGCTATGCCCCACCCCGACCCTTGCAAGGACTTCATTACTAATGGGAAAAATTGGGTCGGGGCGACCGGTGGAGCAGGCGGCACAAGCGAATGGGAAGGGGTTTTCAACGGGCCAGAAGCGAAAGCGGTTTATTATTCTGGGCAATCAGAAGTCTCAGGGCACGGACAAGCGAATCAGATGCCCCAGGACATGACAAACAGAAGGCGAAAGGCCCAACCGAAGGCGAAATGACCGTAGCCAATCGACCGAGCGAATCAGAAGCGGGGATTTCGAGGGGCAAAACCGGGGGTGGGGCATAAAGTCCTTTCGTTCCTCAAGGCATTAAGAGCCCTGAACCAGCTTACCACTCACGCCGAAAGGCTTCTTCAACGCCGGCCACAAAATACAGACTCGCCAGTCTCACAAGCTATCAACCAGCTTATCAAAGGATGTCAAATGGCCATGTATAGCGCCGCCCTCCTTGCCGACGAAAACCGGCAATTTAGGTTAGAAAGCCAGCGAAGAAAAGCAGAGAAAAGAACAGCGCCGTGAATACATTAGCGACGGCGGTACTCTATCGGTTGCAGAGGGCACGTGTAAGAGGCTGGCCCGGAGTTTATTCAACAAGCAGGTGCCTAGGTGTTGTCTATCTAGAGCTAAGGAGGAAAGGAAGCTGAACTCGAGGCGTAGCCTCGAGTGCGAGCTTATATTACCCTTCACAGAATGTTCTCGCAGCTTCCGGGTCCGCGGAGCGGGGCCGGTGCTGCCACCCGAACACGACCCACCGGACCCGGTACAACCGGGTCCACCAAGCCGGGCACAGCCCGTGACAGCACGGTTAGGATAAGGCGACGGAGAGAAGAAGAAGAAGAGCGGGTTAAGCGATAGAGAGTGGAGGAAGAGGAGAGGACTAAGCGCCGGCGAGAGAAGGACGAGGAGCGGCCCAAGCTACGGCGAGAAAAGGAAGAGGAGCGGGTCAAGAAACTTAGAGCAAAGGAAGATGAGCGGGCCAAGCGACGGCGGGAAGAAGAGGAGCGGGTCCAACGACAGATAGAAGAGGAGCTAAGTGTCCCAAGACAGCGTGCACCACCGCGGTCGGTGTAGTAAATGCAGGTCTTTTGAACACATTGCCCGTACGTGTAATGGATAGTCCTAAATCGAGTCACTTGTCTCTTGGAGTAAATATGTCGTGGTATTGTGCTCAGTTTGTCTCGCCGTAAGGTGCGGGCCTTGTCGGTGGAGAATTTTTGACCGAGTAGGGGGTCTGACCGGGAAGGGGGTGGATTACGTTATCGGTCGCCGCTTATCCTCCGTGCGATAAGAACGGTTCATAATCTTGTCTTATTCTGCTTTCGCAATGCTTGACTGGCTAAGACAGGACATGGATATGTTATAAATTGCGCGAGGAAACGATAGGTACGCTCTGAGAAGTTCTTGCCTCTGCTCTATCCTCCCATCGCCCTTCCTGCAGTCAACGTTCAAAATTTCCGGCCATTCGCGGCCTGGTCTGCGATATTGAGGTCTTTCTGACTGCCGTGAACATAGCTACGCAAACTTCCATCCGCATAGCGAGCCGGCACGGTGATATTACACGGAACTCGGTTCGTATGTTGAAGATACTCGGCTTGCGACCAATCTGGGGCATGCGAAACAACGCAATTCCTTCTCCAGTATGCATAACGTTGTTCGCAAGAAGGACCCATAAAATCATAGCAGATTTCAAGAGGCTTGTCTTCTCCGCAGAGCACCATGGGTTCCACTTCGCATTTACCGGTTAGAGTGACTTGAAAAGATATTGCCGAGAGTCTGCAGAACTTCTTGGCTCCGCATTTCATCATTGTGTTTGCGCCCGTTGTTTCCGTTGTTGTTTTAGTGACGGTGTCCGTGTACGTGGAGCCGCCAGTCAAACTAACATCGACGGCCTTGATTGGTATTTTGACAGTCGCGCTGCCCGAGTAGGTCCATCCTTGCGTTACCCCGCTCGCAATAGCAGTTGATTCTAATAAAGTGACGTCGATGGCGTCCTCGTTCTCGTTCTTAACCTCTTTCTGAATCTTCGCCAGCGGCGTGACTTCGACGCTTTGTACCTCGCTTAGCCAACGGCGTTTGAAGAACTTTGATGTCTGGCAACTGAAAACGTGCCGAAAGCAAGATGCCTCTTCAATAACCTCGCGGTCCTGGAATAGTCGATCGTTACCGGTGCCTGCAGGACCAATGTAACTTTGTTGTATCTCTTTGGTCATTTCATCCGTGGTAATTGCGAGCTTTGGTGGCTCCCAGGAGCCGGGGCTGGCCGCAAGGGTCAAAGTTGCCCAAATAGAGAGCGTAGTAATAACGAAAGTATGCATGATTGGATCGCTGCGAGCAGAACAGTGGTTAGGCGATTGGAAGAGGAATGAGAGTGTTTGCTTTGTTGCGAAGCGTAGAGCGATAGTCTAAGCTCACCACTATTGCGGTAAAGGAGCAGACCTTATATCATTTCGTTTTTTATGTTGCCTCACCTTGGAATCCTAGTTTATAGGCCTATCCCACATCCCATATCTTGCAGTGTCCCGAACCAAGTGTCTACTAGTCATAAGCCAGCTTGCCCGGGACCCTGTTCCTAATCCAAGAAGGGGTAGTTTGGAGAGCAGTTGAGTCAGGGCCCATTCGCAAGCGAATCATACCAGAGAGTAACAAAGGTAAGGCATTCATTCAGCCATGATAGTCTCGACTGTTATCGACAATTAGACCATGTATTATCAGCAAATGCTCATTTGTCATCTTCATGCTATCCCACTCATCTCGCTCGTCTTATGCACAAGAGTCAAACGCACCATCGTCTTTACCACCTGTTTCATGTGGGGGAGTGGAGTGAGTTAAGCTGCAGAGTGTAGACTGACTAGGTGACTCATCATGAACCTGGTATCTCCGGAGCTGAGAGTCGACGCTAAAATCTCAGGCGAAGGCGGAACTACTCAGACCGTACGGGCGAGCATAAAGTACGCACGAGCTCACGACTGTCTGTAGGCTTCCTCGTACATAAATGTCAGCCCCCCAGACCGAACAGACCGCGAGTACAGATAACACCACGGTTCCTTCTGTATCTAACACGAGATTGACCGACCCAGGCCTCTTCTCCTGCTCATTCCTCAATTGTCAAACTCACAATGAAGGCATCATACCATCTTCTTTTGTCTATCGCTCTGCCTTTGGCCACTGCTCTTGCAACTCCTAGCAATACAACAGACATCACACCCCAACCAGATACACCACCAGAGGAGCTCGATCGCCTCGAGCAAGCAATTCGTAAGGCGGAAGAACTAAGCAAAAATGCGCCACCCGGGGAGGAGCAGAAGCAGCCGCCTCTAGAAGCTAGAAGCGATATTGGCTACATCGTTGACCTTGCAGTATGATCCGAGAAGGTGGCGTGTGAAGGGGCCAGTACTGTCGGGAGGATTTTATGTCTGCATAGGCTCTATCGACACATTCAACATTTTGTGGTAGAAACTTGTTAAGGATTGCAATGCTGAAATGGTCTACTGAGAGTTCTCAGCCTCCATGTATTTTTTTTTTAAAATCAGCACAAGAGAGGCTGTCTGTAGTTGCGTAGCCTATCGCTAGCCAGGCGGCTGTTGAGCGAGCGTGGCACAGCTACTTGCCTGACTTGCATTTCTCTTGTCTTGCCGTCCAAGCCGCTGTTCTGGCTATCAAATTCAAGCGAGGTCTGTCACGCCTTTTCCGACATGTGAAGTATATCAGCTGAAATTTCCCTCTTTGCAAGTCCCTTTTACTCGTAGATCTGTCGAGTCAATCATTGCGCCAACTGCTGCCGTGCTCGTCGAATTGGCTGCAGCGCGGCCTCGGCTACTCGTAACAGTAGCCAGCGCCTAGCGCCTAGCGCCGAAGCCCGTAGGCCATGCATTATATCAATGACTCGAGTTGCAGCTGCTCCAGCATCAACAAGAGCTGGCGCCATCGCGCCTGAAACAACACGATGACAGGTTTGCGCAGACGAGTACGGGAGTGGGATGTGGCTGATTGAGACTCCATAGTTATGAAACATAGGCTAGTAATAGAGTTACCATGAGGAGGGCACTTCATCGTCAAAGTCCCCTGAGTTCTGCAATTATTGATGTAGAGCACGAGTCAAAAGAACGAAACTCCACCGGCATCCCGCATAGTTGGTAGGCTTGTGAAGACTTAGGCCAGTTAGGAAGGGATGTCATTCAATTACAATTAGTCAGGATACTGATATTCAGGACGCCCTCTCTCCATAAATACCTACATGTTCAGTCATTTCCCAAGCTCGTCCAGACACCGTCACTCGTCTTACCTACAGGGTCTTTCTATCAGCCCTCTTCACTATCCTCATAACCAGTCTTTACCTGCTTATACAAGGCATTATCTCTCATTCATTAGACAGTATGAGACTTGCACTCATCCTCATTGGCGCCACAACTCTGGTTGCCGCCTTGCCCCAAGAAACGCAGGGAGAATGCTGTCTGCTTGAGGGCAAACTGGTTTGTCCGGAAGACCCGGGATTCCCTGTAGTCTGCGATGGAGGAGACGACGGTCCTGTTCCACGCCCTGATTCTAAGCCGCATCCAGCAACTCCACAGCAGCCGCCAAAGGTTAAGAGGCAACAGCAGCAGCCCACAGGTACGCAGCAGCCGCCCAAAAGTTCGCAGCAGCCGCCAAATGTTGCGGCGGCGCCCCTTAATGGCACAGCAGCGCAGCAGCCGCCCCCGGGATCCCAGGAAGAGAAAGTCGAGTACGAATGTTGCAAGGGAGCTGTGTCTGGAGTCGGACCGATATGTCCAGAAGACCCGGGATTCCCTGAGGACGAAAAATGTGCGGGAGGGTTAGACGGTCGTGTTCCGCGCCCTGATTCCAAGCCGCGTCCAGCAGCTCTACGTCCGATGGGAGCACCATAGAGTCGTGCTCTACTTGAGAAGTCGCGCTTTACACATGCAACGATGGCGGATGAGGACCCATGTAGGCCGCACAGAGCCACATTACTGTCGTTGGTGTTGGGGACCTCTTATAAACCTTGCTGCGGGACGACATTGGGTGTCACGCGCCTAAAGTGCTTGACTCCGGTAGATGGTTGGTTGATTCCAACTACTGGCTGGAGTGACTACCGGTATTCCAGAGAAAGCACGGGGCTGGGAGGCATCTCGTGGTTATAAAAGTAGGGTAGCATAACCCTTGGAGGAGCTCGTCAGAGATCTACGATTTGAATTGTTGGCCCCGTTCTTCACTCTCTGTTTCGTTGTGTGTGTGCGCCTTACATTGGGGACGGGTAGAACTTGAAGGCGCCTTTGACACGAGGAAAAATAGAGCTCTCAAGCCACTCTTTTCTAGCTCCATCATGCATCAACCTAGTTCTGTGTGATTCATATCTCTAAACCTTGCTCTATTACCCCGGTTCAAGAGTGACAGACAGGTTTTGTTGATGTTGGAGAAGACTGGTTGCCTCTAGAAGGTTCTATGTCATGTTGACATTTGTCAGCCATGTCTATATAAAACCTAGCATTCCATTCTTCTCTGTAGCTAGATAGACATGACCACTATCATTCATTCACTTTTTCACAGTCCGTGTGTGCGGATATGTCACACAACGAGGTGCACGGGCAGTATGGATGACTGAGCGGCGATCAGGAAGAAGATCCCCTGTGAATCGGGCAACGAAAGACTCTTGATTTATTCAGCCGTAGGCTGACTTTACATTATTCAGCCGTAGGCTGACTTTACATTAATCGAATAAGTTTTCCCTAATATGAGGGTTTGGTGCAGCAGGGATCAGTTAAGTTTTCTGACATCTGATTGGTTGTATGGTTTCTAAAACGTAACTCAACTGGATGATGGCCTTCTAAAAGTGGGTCCAATTTTGCACTTGCCCTGAATGTCACAGAGCTACTCTGAGCATCGCGGGTCGCCAACAAACCCATCGTACGCAGCTGCTTTCAACCGCAGTGAACCCTATGCCTCATCGAGGGTCTCAAGGTGGCGTGGTTTCCATCGTATGCATTCGCTGTGGCGAGGAGAAACCAGCGCAAGACTTCCTCGGCAGAAGAAAGTCGGCTGGGCACACCAAGAGCTGCTTGGGCTGCCGCAATAAGCGCGCCTATCATGTTGGCTTTATCTCGCGCTCCACAAGATGTTCAATGCTGATCAATTGAAGTACTCCAGGTCCAGACGCATAACCCAGACTTTGAGGAGGTCGCGGTCCGTCCTTCCTCCGCTGACGGGCCTGCTGCGAAAGAACAGACCGAGATGCTCGCTTACAACCCGAGCAAAAGATACCTAAAGCCCAGCCTACATCATCTGAAAGTTTCCAGGAACGTCATACAGTGAGGTTTTCTTCCGAGGACTCGATGAGCCAACCGCGTGTAGTGCTGGGGACACCACTGCCGCCGACCCAACAAAGTTCAGGGAAAGGTTTAGGAGTTGGCAGGTTCTCACTCAGAATCCGTATAAGAACGGTTAGGGGCTACGTAACTCCACTTGATGCTACCAAGACGTAGATGACGCAATGAATGCATGACTGTAGATTCTTGAATTTTCAGGCCTGCCTTACCGTTGACAGCAGACTTGCAGCCTTCGGCTGATTGTACGCCTTGCACCACTGCTCTAAAGTGCAAGGCGTGACGAAGTATTTTATACATGAATAGAGAGACTAAGGGCAGCAGCTTGACTAGTCGTGACTGCCTATTACCGTCCGTAGGCAGTAGGCAGCAACGTGAATGAGCGTCTGATCTTGACAGGACAACAATTGACTCTACTAGCGCGTATAAGAACGTAGACGCGTTCTCGCGGACACCTGATGCGTATGCCAGCCTCGTCTTATCTTAGAGCGCTGAACTTAGTAATACCAGCAGTGTTGGCTTCAGCAAGCCAACGGGGCCCGGCTTGTAGGGAGCTAGAGGGCAAAGGATCTCAGTCCATCAGGCCATGTTGCATTGACATATTGGGCCCAGCTTCTATTATAGGCTGTTGGGAAGGACTACCTCGTGCAATGTGTCACGAAACACGCTTAGCTCGTATGCAATACTATCTCCCACTCTCAGTGGGGCGTTATGCAAATACGCATTGGAAGAAAGGGGCCACACACTAAGGTTCAAAATGCATGGTTCTGTGGACAGGCTCTTCACTGCAGTGAGGTTATTCGAACTGGTTCAATTGGTTATATCTTGTGTAACTAGGGAAACGTGTCCCATACAAACTGTGTGCAAAGACCTTCCTCCCTGTGTCTCACCTCTTACTCGCACGTGACTAGCGCGGTCGATTAGTTATACGTGCGCGATCGGTGCCTAGTGCACAGGTGGATCCAACACTGGAACCTCTTTCTAAATCGATGATCGCG